TGATTTCTGCCTTTATTCATTATTAGTATCATACTGAACAAAATGCAGTATTTTGAACATGCAAAACGAATTTGTAAAACGTAAAGGATCGGTTTAAACGGGTCATTAAACTGGAGAGGGAATTCATCAAGCGTGTTTCATAAAATTGTGCGAAATTTACATTGCACATTATAATTATAAAAGTGCGATATTTTCGAAGATGATGAAACTTCGTAAAAAAAGGTTCATAGCACATATGGGCATACAGAAAAAAATCAGTTTTATTAATGAGATTTGGTAAAAGCATCATGGTGGATGCCATAGCCATCTCAGCCTCACTCACCCAGAGCCAGAGATTCTCTCCATCCTTACTCTCGAAGGTCTTAATGCTCACCATGAGCGACCTGAGTCGGAAGGAGTCATTTGTCATCGACGGTGGCGTCATAGATGCAGTCGACGTCGACCATCTCTGCTCTAGGTGCTTAGCAGAGCATTTTATAGCTCGAAATCGCCTCTAGGTGCGCGCTTATCGCTTCGGGTCCCTGAGAAGCAAGGTGTTCACGTTCTCAGGGCCAAGCAGAAACATCAGCTTTTTAGACCCGTCCTACATGCCATGGGGCAAATAGGAGCATTGCTCCATCCTCACAGAGGATCAGTCGTAACGACTCAGGCGTAGATTGACTACAAGTGCTACCAAGTGCAGCGGGGTTGCCGTAATTCTTCGCTTAGAGGAAAGTTACTTGGGTCACAGCCTTACTAGAACCAGTAAAATGTAGCGGATCGCAATCCGCTACCTCCAAGAGTACCCAGAACCTTAATTCAAGGTAAATCACTCCTTCGTTTAATAATGATATTGTATTTATTTGCGGCAGAGCCGCCTATATTTAAATCTCTAGGTGTAACTAATCAACTAGTAATACATAATTAATATGCATAACTACTGGCAATCCCGCTACGTAGTGGCTTGTTGTTACGGTGTAGCCACACCATTGTGTGATTACACCGTCTTGTGTAATACACACCTTTGCACGGTCACACCACCTTGTGTGACCCCAGTGTACGTGCAACCCTGTTACAGACCGAAGTTTCCATCGCATATGGCGAGGGTTTGACCCGTTGACCCGTTGACACGATTCACACGTGCACACAACACACTTGTCAGCTAATTTATGTTGAATCACGATTTCACATTGCTAACCAAGTAGTATCTATTATCGCTCGAGTTGGCGACCCAAATATGCCTCCTACAGTATTCTGCACTTGAGGTCCTCATCATATGGCATCACCACACGCTACTCGATTCATGTGCTGTTATACAGCAAGTCTTGTTATAAAGCATCACGATGCGGGCGTGCAATCTTGCGCTTTGACATCTAAACTTGTTAAGGCTTGCATCCTAAAGTAGTGAGCAGCACAACACATGTTGCGTCTGACCCGGACGCTGTACGTATTGTCTCATCAATTGGCTACGTCGCCAATGTGTCATGCGAATATACATAGTTGGGGTGACGTGATAGCGCATCCTTTGCCACAATAAAACGACCAGGCTAAAAAAAAAAAAAACCTTGCTTTAGATGCATACTTATCAAAGAAAGACAACCATATTGCCGTTCTAAATGGTTGATGTAGTGCCGAAGTCGCTATGCATACCAACATAGGATTCGTGCATCTCATCAAGGGCTAAAGGCCAAGCATATTCACCCTGAACCTGACAAGACCATGCTTCAGTGCAATTAACTTCTCTGCAAAAATTGAGTAGTCCTTTTTTGGCAGCCGGAGCGGGTGAGAATCTGCAGCGGGGCTGCCGTAGCTTTGCGCTTTGAGAAAACGTAAGTTAGGTCACCGACCTTCCGTTCTATACTTAGAACAAGTACGAGTTAAGCGAATCGCAGTCCGCTTACTCCAAGAGTAATTATTTTCTCAACCCAAAGCTGATTAACTCTTCCGTTTAAAATCCAAAGCTGACTTTATTTATTTTTATCTGCGGCACAGCCGCCTAGTTTTAAATGTATAGAATCTCCTAAATATATATAGTAAAATCTAAATACATGCATAATTACTGGCTACCCAGCCACGTACCGTATTCTTGTTTGGGTGCAGCCACACCA